GTTACAAACATATGCACAAAGTCATAATACCCTGTACCACAGTGTGGTGAAGGGTATATAAACCACGCCTTAGGATAGGCTCTTAAAGATATTTTTAAAAATCCCCGCCTGGGAAAAAATATATTTTTTTTAATTCCAAAAATTTTTTACCCTTGAAAAAAATCTCTTTGGCCCTTAGAGGGTTAATTCTTTTTACAAATTTGTATTTCAATTTTTTGTCGGTGTTTTTTTCTTTTAAATTTAATTTTCAATTATTTTTTTCCGCCACTACCACTGCCGGTTAAGACTAATTGAAGTTTGTCAGGTTTATTGTTACGACCATCCAACCACCACCACCTCCATCTGCTCCGAACTAATTGATAGGACATGTGAGTAGATTTTGCTGCTATTGTCTGAGGTTATGAGCAAGTTTCGTCTGTCTATTCTAACAAATATTGTATCTGTTTTGACTGTAAATAAATATTCCCAGTACAGATTTCACCTGTATGAACCCCAGACCTGATGGAGAGGAGGAGGAGGTTCAGTGGAAGGTGGTTGCCACTGAAACTTTCTTTTGAAACCTTTTTCTATTTAAATGGTTTCTGTTTCTGCCAAAACAATGGAAAATGTTGTTGGTTGATGGTTTTAGAGGTTATTGGGTTCAAATGGAGTTGGAGAAAATTTTTAAAAAATTAAAAAAAAATAAATTTTTGGTTAAAAAAAATTTAAAAAAAAAATATTTTTAAAAAAACAATTTTTTTTTTTCATAAAAATTGATATTTTTTCCACTCACAGAAAAATCTGAAATAAATTTTCCCGAACCTTAAACAAAACTCTCCACAACAATTCTCTCCAACACTCTCCACATTCACCATGTTAGCAAAGCCAACACAAATGCAAATGAACACACCACGACATAGCAAAGCCACAAACCTCATCCAAGGCAACAGCATTGCCAACCACCTTTGGCAAGTCTAGAGTAGCCAAACACCTGAAATAGCTTTCAAATTTAATAACAAATTTTTCAAATATTTTTTCAAAATTAATTTTCAAAAATTTTATTAATTTTCTCTCCCTCTTTGCAGGATTTACAAAACGATTTATCCTTCGATGACACCTTCGATATCGATCAAATTGACGACTCAAAGCTACGCAGTTCACGCGACCTCGAAGAACAGGCCTTTATCGAAGATGAACTCCAGCCGGTCGACGAAACGGAAGCCAACAGCGAAGGCAGTTGGTTGGTCCAAAGTGTAAAACGTGTCCGACGTGAATTGGGTCGTTTGTTCGGCGGGGAGAAACAAGCTGCCACCCCCGGCGAACACAAAGTCCGCAAACATCACAAAAAACGTTCGGAACGTAACAATGAGCTAGCTGGTGCAAAGAAATCTCATCCTGAGGGTCACAAAAAGGCTCATCGCGGAGAACATCAACAACTACAAAATGGACATACCAAACATGCGGGTGCTAAGCTCCAGAACAAACCAAAGAGAACGCACAAATTGCAATCGCTGAACAAGCACAACAAACGTCAGTTGTATGGTGATGAGAATGAAGGTTCCGGTTTCGGACCCGGTGATGATGAGGATCAACCAATTGATGATTTTGGCGAGACTGATTTGTGTAAGTAGAGAACAGAATTTTTCAAAATAGTTTATCAAGGACCTGAGATCCTTTTTAATTAGAAAAAATCCTCAGGTCCCTGAGGCTAAAATTTTGTTATCGAAAAAATTCCTCAGCTCCCTGATGCCAACTTTTTTCTATAGAAAAAAATTCTTCAGCGCCCTGAGGCCAACTTTTTTTTCTATCAAAAAAAAATCCTCAGCGCCCTGAGACCAACTTTTTTTCTATAGAAAAAAATTTCTCAACGCCTGAGGCCAACTTTTTTTTATAGAAAAAAATCCTCAGAGCCCTGAGGCCAAGTTTTTTCTATCGAAAAAAATTCCTCAGCTCCCTGATGCCAACTTTTTTCTATAGAAAAAAATTCCTCAGCGCCCTGAGGCCAACTTTTTTTCTAGCGAAAAAAATTCCTCAGCGCCCTGAGGCCAACTTTTTTCTATAGAAAAAAATTCCTCAGAGCCCTGAGGCCAAATTTTTTTCAATAGAAAAAAATTCCTCAGCGCCCTGAGGCCAACTTTTTTTCTATCGAAAAAAAAAATCCTCCGCGTCCTGAGGCCAACTTTTTTCTATAGAAAAAAATTTCTCAGCGCCCTGATAGACCCTGAAAGGGATAGATAGACCAGGGATAGACCCTGAAAAATATTTTTAAAAAATCCACGCCTAAAAGTAGATCATGAAAATTTATTTTAATTGTTTTTTTTTCTCAGGGGAATCACTCATCGTTGTCAACCTACCCTGGGAGGATACCTACTCCGATAGACTTAGCCAAGATTTCAACAACCTGCAAGCCCAAATTGAGTCCGCCTTTGTTGAGTGGTTCGATGAAGAATATGGCTATGAGGAATATGCCCTGCATGTGGCCTTGATCAGTGCCAAGTAAGTGTTGAAAAAAAAATATTTTTTTAAGAACAATATTTAAAAAAAAAAATATCTACTTTTGTAGACCCACCAGTGACTACTATAAGGTCCACTGTATTATCCAAATGGACTTGCCCGAGAAATTCCTCAACTTTGGCCAAAGGCTACAACATCAATTGACCTCCTATCACAAAATGGCCGATTTGGGCATGGAAGCCGATGATCAATACTATTTCAGACGTGTTAGAGGTAAGTGTCGGGTGTGGTGTGGGGAAGTTTCTATTTCTATTTTATTTTTTTTTTTTTTGCAGTTTAGAAATTAAAAAAAAAAATTGAAATTTAAAAAAATAATTAATTTTTTTCAAAAAAATTTAACTGGAAATATTTTTTTTTATAAAAAAAATTGGAAAAAAAATCAAAACAAATTTTAAAAAAATTTCAAAAAAAAAATTTGAAAAAATTTCAAAAAAAAATTTTGAAAAAATTTCAAAAAAAAGAAAAATTTTCAATTTTTTTTAATTTGAAATTTGAAAAATTTTTAAATTTAAAAAAAAAATTGGAAAAATTGATTTTTTTTAAATTTTTTTTTGAAAAAGTTTCAAAAAAAAATTTAAAAAATTTAAAACAAACGTTTTTTAAAAAATTTAAAAACAAATTTTTTGAAAAAATTTAAAAACAAATTTTGAAAAAATTAAAAAAAAAATGAAAAAATTTCAAGAAAAAAATTTTGAAAAAATTAAAAAAAAAAATTGAAAAAATTAAAAAAAAAAAAAAAATTTCAAAAAAAAATTGAAAAATTTTCAATTTTTTTTTTTAATTTAAAAAAAAATGGAAAAATTGATTTTTTTTTAATTTGTTTTTGAAAAAGTTTAAAAAAAAATTAAAAAATTTAAAACAAAAATTTTTTGAAAAAAATTAAAAACAATTTTTTTTGAAAAAATTTAAAAACAAATCTTGAAAAAATTGAAAAAATTTCAAGAAAAAAATTTTTAAAAAATTAAAAAAAAATTTTGAAAAAATTGACAAATTTTCAATTTTTTTTTTTTTTTGAAAAATTTAAAAAAAAATGCATTTTTTTTTTAAATTTGTTTTTGAAAAAGTTTCAAAAAAAATTAAAAAATTTAAAGCAAAAGTTTTTGAAAAATTTAAAAAAAAATTTTTTTGAAAAAATTTAAAAAAAAAATTGAAAAAATTTAAAAAAAAATTGAAAAATTTTCAAATTTTTTTTTGAAAAATTTAAAAAAAAATTGAATTTTTTTTAAATTTGTTTTTGAAGCAAAAAAAATTAAAAAAATTAAAACAAAAATTTTTTGAAAAAAATTAAAAACAATTTTTTTTGAAAAAATTTAAAAACAAATTTTGAAAAAATTTAAAAAATTTCAAGAAAAAAATTTTTAAAAAATTAAAAAAAAATTTTGAAAAAATTGACAAATTTTCAATTTTTTTTTTTGAAAAATTTAAAAAAAAATGCATTTTTTTTTAAATTTGTTTTTGAAAAAGTTTCAAAAAAAATTTAAAACAAAAGTTTTTGAAAAAATTTTAAAAAAAAATTTTTTGAAAAAATTAAAAAAAAATTTATGAAATAATTTCAAAAAAAAATGAAAAATTTTCAATTTTTTTGAAAAATTTAAAAAAAAAAATTGGAAAAATTGATTTTAAATTTGTTTTTGAAAAAGTTTAAAAAAAAATTTAAAACAAAAGTTTTTGAAAACTTTTGAATTTTTTTTTTTTTTGGAAAAATTTAAAAAAAAAAATTGGAAAAATTGATTTTTTTTAATTTGTATTTGAAAAAGTTTAAAAAATTAAAAAATTTAAAACAAAAGTTTTTGAAAAAATTTAAAACAAAAGTTTTTGAAAAAATTTAAAAAATTTCAAGAAAAAAATTTTGAAAATTTTTAAAATTTTTCAAAAACAAATGTTTATGGAAAAAATTAAAAAACCAATTGAAATTTTTTTTTTTTTTGTTGAAAAATTAAAAAAAAATTTACAAGAAATTTTCAAATATTTTTGATTTTTTTTTAATTATAAACTGCAAAAAAAAATATTTTCTGAAGATTTTTTTTTAATTAAAAAAAAAATTTAAAAAAAATTGGAATTATTTTCCAAATTTCTCTCTTAGAAAATTTCGAAATTTAGTTAATTTTTTGTTGTTGTGTAAGGTAACCAAGAAAGGATAGTAAAATCCTTTGACAAAAAAAATCTGTGAGTCCTTAGAATTCGAAATCTGTTTAGAAAAAAATTGTTGCGGGTATAGTTTGGTTTAGATTTGTAAAAAAAATTGTTTTGAAACCCCATTTGTAAATTATTTTTTCATTATTTTGTAAAAAAAAAATATTTTTCTTTCCATCCAACCCAAAAAAATACAACAACAACAACAACATTATACACTACCCATCCACATTTGCTAAATACACTTTATTTCGAATAAACCCCGCCCCGAACACCCATTCCAAAACAAATTCCATTAGATTTGCAAAATCATGATTTCGTTGATGTCACCGAATCGGCCCATGATGCTGCTGGTCATCCTCAAGCAACTAATAATGGTGGTGGTGCTTATGATAATGACAATCAGGACAATCGTGGTCATGGCTACTATGATCAGGGCAATCAGGATAATGGACAGGGCTATTATGGTCAAGATCAAAATAATCATGAACAGCCAGGTCATGAGGTGGATAACAACAGTCCCTATGATGATCGGGATAGATATGATCCCAATGGCTATGATAGTACCCATGGTTATGATAACAACAACAACAACGAAAATGACAACAACAATGCCTATGATCCTTATGGCGATAATGAAAATAATAATGGCTATGACAATAACAACAACAATAATGCCTATGATCCCAATTACCCCTATGGCCAGGATAACAACGAAAACAACAGCAACAACAATGCCTATGACCCCTATGGCCAGGGTAATACCGAACAGAATAATGCCTATGATCCCAATGATCCCTATGCCCATGGCAACTCCGATCCCTATGCCCATGGCAACTCCGATCCCTATGCCCATGGCAGCAATACTGATGATGAACATCACGAAGCCGAACATGAAGCACCCCGCACCAACATCATGACCTACGATTGTGATCAAAACCCTGAGGGTGAATTCCAATGCGGTAATGGTGAACTGATTCCGTGCTATAGACGTTGTGACAATTATGTCGATTGTTCGGATGAAACCGATGAAGAATCGGAAATGTGCCGCATTGTATTGGAACGTGAAGATGAGGAAAGAGAGGGTGAAGGCGAAGAAGAACCGGTTGATGTAAATCGCGAGGATAATGGCTGGGATTCATGGCCAAATACTCATAAAGGTACACATACATACAAAAAACATAAATACATGCATACACCACGCACACACACACACATATATACACGCACACACTCACCCATAAGCTCATGAAACAACTGATAACACACACACACATACATATGCATTTAATTTTTCTAAGGAAATTTTGCTTACTAAACACTTAGGATATAAGGCATTTGAGGGGGTCTATGGTTTGTAATAAAACTAGAAAAGGATATCAGGATACAGGAAAAAATATTTTGAAAAAAAATCCCCTACTAAAAATTAGGTCCTAAAAATAATTTTGAAGAATCCATCATTTACCTGAAATCGGACGAAAATATATATGGGAGCTATATCTAAATCTGAAACGATTTTTACGAAACTTAGCACACATCATTCGAGGCTTAATTCAGTACGTTGCGCCAAATTTCGTGCAAATCGAAAGATATTTAGGGTCTTTGGGGCACAATTTACCTGAAATCGGACGAAATATATATATGAGAGCTATATCTAAATCTGAACTGATTTTTTTCAATTTCCATAGGGTTCGTCCTTAGGCCAAATAAATGAGCTGTGATAAATTTCGTACAAATCGAAAAATATATAGAGTTTTTGGTGCACCCTTTACCTGAAATCGGACGAAAATATATATAGGAGCTATATCTAAATGTGAACGGATTTTCACGAAACTTAGCACACATCATTCTAGGCTTAATTCAGTACGCTATGCCAAATTTCGTACAAATCGAAAAATATATAGAGTTTTTGGTGCACCATTTACCTGAAATCGGACGAAAATATATATGGGAGCTATATCTGAACCTGAACCGATTTTCGCGAAACTTAGCACACATCATTCTAGGCTTAAGTCAGTACGTTGTGCCAAATTTCGTGCAAATCGAAAGATATTTAGGGACTTTGGTACACCGTTTACCTTAAATCGAACGAAAATATATATGGGAGCTATATCTAAATCTGAACCGATTTTAACGAAACTTAGCACACATCATTCGAGGCTTAATTCAGTACGTTGCGCCAAATTTCGTGCAAATCGAAAGATATTTAGGGCCTTTGGTGCACCATTTCCCTGAAATCGGACGAAAATATATATGGGAGCTATATCTAAGTCTGAACCGATTTGCACGAAACTTAGCGCACATCATTGTAGAGTTAATTGAGTACGCTGTTCCAAATTTCGTGTAAATCGAATGATATTTAGGGACTTTGGTGCACCATTTAGATAAAATCGGACGAAAATATATATGGGAGCTATATCTAAATCTGAACTGATTTTTTTCAATTTCTATAGGGTTCGTCCTTAGGCCAAATAAATGAGCTGTGATAAATTTCGTACAAATCGAAAAATATATAGAGTTTTTGGTGCACCATTTAGATAAAATCGGACGAAAATATATATGGGAGCTATATCTAAATCTGAACCGATTTTTATGAAACTTAGCACACATCATTCTAGAGTTAATTAAGTACGCTGTGCCAAATTTCGTGCAAATCGAAAGATATTTAGGGACTTTGGTGCACCATTTATATTAAATCGGACGAAAATATATATGGGAGCTATATCTAAATCTGAACCGATTTTCACGATGGATGGATGGACATGCGTATATCGTAAATCGACTCAGAAAGTGATTCTATGCATATTCTCTCGTTTCCTTTTGCCTGTTACAAACATATGTACAAAGACATAATACCCTTTACCACAGTGTGGTGAAGGATATAAACATTCACGCCTAGGGATATGCCCAAAAAATATTTTTAAGACATCAGCGCCTAAGGTTATACCCCACAAAATATTTTTAAGACATCCACGCCTAAGGATATGCCCCAAAAAATGTTTTTAAGGCATCCACGCCTAAGGATATGCCCGAAAAAGTATTTTTGAGACATCCACGCCTAAAGATATGCCCCAAAAATATTTTTAAGATAACCACGCTTAAGGTTATACCCCACATAAAATTTTTAAGACATCCACGCCTAAGAATATGCCCCAAAAAATATTTTTAAAACATTCACGCCTAAGGATATGCCCAAAAAAATATTTTAAGACATCCACGCCTAAGGATATGCTCCAAAAAATGTTTTTAAGACATCCACGTATAGGAAATGTCCCAAAAATATTTTTAAGACATCCACGCCTAAGGATATGCCCCAAAAAATATTTTTAAGACATCCACGCCTAAGGATATGCCCCAGAAAATATTTTTAAGACATCCACGCCTAAGGTTATACCCCACATAAAATTTTTAAGACATCCACGCCTAAGGATATGCCCCACAAAATATTTTTAAGACATCCACGCCTAGGGATATGCCCCACAAAATATATTTGAGACATCCACGCCTGACGATATGCCCCAAAAAATATTTTTAAGACATCCACGCCCAAGGATATGCCCCAAAAAATATTTTTAAGACATCCACGCCCAAGGATATGTATTGTAGGAATAACTTTTTATGCGTGTTTGCAGCTTCAATAAAACGAAAGACTTCTTTACTGGTTGAGAACTTTATTACGAGTGACAACTTCTTTCTTACACACTACGCATGAAATCTTAATACTACAACAACTATGTACAAATAGTGTGCATCGCACTCTGCGATCATGCTGTAATTACTCAACATGTGTGTTGTGTTGTACGATCGTATCGTGGAGATTCAATAATTCCAACACTCCTCCTCAACACACATACACACATGCCCAAACAAAACTCAACCATTTCTTTATTTATTGTAAACACATTACAAAAATTTCAAAATATAATACACACAGTATTTAAATACTAAATTTTAAGATTAATAATTCATGCTCCTCCTGCATGCTGTCCCCTCACAAGGGATCGACAATGGTTGACCTAACTGTTCTTGTTTGTCTTCTTCTAAACTTATTCAGCTTATTCATTTCATCAGCATTTCGTTTAAGAGGGCTCTCCCCATTCTGGTGACCGTAACGGCACCTCTCTGAATTTGTTGTTGTTTTCATAAGAAACACATTCTTTTTCGGCTCGCTGAACAAAAACAAATTTCCAACCCTTCTAGCGGTCAGCACAACTCTTCGCTGGTTGTCTATTATCTGCGCACATTTTTCTCCAAATCGTACATCATGTTTTGCCGCTACTCTGCCTACCGATATAAAATTGCACTGCAGGTTAGGCACAAACAACACATCATTTAGCTCGATGTCCCCTTCATTTATGAGTACTCTCCCCTTCCCTTTTGCATGAACGGTTTTATTACTTGCTAGGGAGATCTCTTCATTGTGGTGCTGAAACTGCGTAAACAAATTACGGTCGCTGCATAAATGCGAAGAAGCACCGCTATCCAAACACCAAATGTTCTTTCTTGTGTTGTTGTTGTCGCTCTTACTTATAACTGTGTACGTATGCTCGTTACCCTTTTTCGCTGCCTTGCATTGCGCTGCGTAATGTCCTCTGCCGCCGCAACTGTAGCATCTAAAATTTTGTGTGCGCGTTCTATTTTTGTCTGCACCCCATCTCTTTTTGCGGCTACCTGCGTTGTTGTTGCTAAATCTTTGCTTGTGCGTATTGGACACTGTACCTTTGTTGTTGTTGTTATTCGTTGTGCGTTGAGCCATAAACGCCTGATTGGAATACGCATCATTCATATTTGCTAATGATGTTCGCCTTTCGCTCTCCTCGGACAATTTCACCTTCAATGCACACAGCTTAGGTAAATCGTCTCTCGATTCCAACGCAACAACCATGTTTTCGAATGACTTTGGCAAACTGGCGAGGATTAATATAACTAACAGCTCTTCGCCCAACTCGATACCTGTGTCGGCCAACTTGTCTACGACGGACGTAAACTCGGACAGGTATTGTTGTATTCCTTCGCCTTCCTCCATTCTCATATTGAGCAGCCTCTTAAACAGTGACACCTTCCTCACTGGGCCTTTTGGTCTATGTACCGCACTCAAACTGTCCCACGCTTCTCTTGCTGACTTACAACTCTTTATGTATGTTAGCTGGACAGGAGTGATGCTCAATATGATGGTTGCCATCGCCTTCTCATCTCGCATTTTCCATTTTGCAGTTTTATCTGGAGTCTCCTCCTCGGAGATCACGTCCCACAGATCTTGGTGGACTAATACTGCCTTCATCTGCAAACACCATGACTCGTAGTTTCCTTCTTCTAGTTTTTCAATCATATACATTGAAGACATTTTGTTGTATTTATCGACACACGATATGGATGAACTGACACACAGTTTAACAAAATGTTCCACAGCTTCAATGTTATTCTTATAGGACACTCTCAATCACACAGATTGATATTAGCTATTTCTCAACTTTGCCTTTCCGTTTTCCAATTGCGATGATCCTTTGACTTTCCTTGTCACAACTCAATTTCCATTTTCCAAATCGATTTCCTTAGAGTTGTCCGGGGTACACTTTGCTTTAATTTTTTCCTTGTCCAATACTATTCTTTTAATTCCGATTATCCTTAGCGTTGTCCTTGTACTTTGCACTTATTAATTCACCGTCGAGTGTCCTGGGCCCATAACCTATTGTAGGAATAACTTTTTATGCGTGTTTGCAGCTTCAATAAAACGAAAGACTTCTTTACTGGTTGAGAACTTTATTACGAGTGACAACTTCTTTCATACACACTACGCATGAAATCTTAATACTACAACAACTATGTACAAATAGTGTGCATCGCACTCTGCGATCATGCTGTAATTACTCAACATGTGTGTTGTGTGTTGTACGATCGTATCGTGGAGATTCAATAATTCCAACAATATGCCCCAAAAAATATTTTTAAAAAATCCACGCCATTGTTTATATCCAAAACAAATATATTTTTTTTAAATCCACCCTGAAAAATATTTAAATTTTCTCGCCTAAATATAGGCTATGAAAATTATATAAAAGAAAAACCCATGCCAAAATGAAGGCTATGGAAATAATTTTTAGAACATCCATGTCTGTGGTAAGGCCCTGAAAAATATTTTTAAAAAATTCTCACCTATGCTGAGACCTTGAAAAAATATTTGTAAAAAATTCTCGGTAAATTTAAAACAAATTAGGGTGCGTTGCATACTTTTCGGCGTACTTTTGAGTTTGATTCTGATATCCTTTTAGTGTTGCAAATTTGATTGCCTTTGGCTAGCTTTTTAAAAAAAAATATTTATATATATATATTGGTTTATGGAATTTATTGTAGAGGGTACTAATTTGAATTTGAAAAAAATAATTTTTACTAATTTCTAATATAAATTAAAAACAAAATATTATTTAGAAAGCATTGCTAATTATTCTCTCATTTTTTTTTTTAAATTTATCCTCATTACATCTCTCATTAGTTTGAATTAAAAAAAACCCCATTTGCATTATTTTAAAAACATAATTCATAATATTTAAGAAGTGTTCATATTTTTAAGAACCATATTCATAGCTTTAATGAATCTTTTCACATAAAGGAGAAAATCTATTTTTCTCTCTCTAAAAATTTCGCTCACTTAATTCTCACAATCATTCCAAAAAAATTTTTATAAATTTCAAATACATAATATTTAAAAAATTTTCCTATTTTTAAGAAGAAAATTCATAGCTTTTATGAATCTCTTGACATAAAAGAGAAAATCCAATTTTTTTTCTCCCTAGAAATTTGGCTCTCTTTATTCTCGCAATCATTCAAAAAAATATATATATATATATATAAATTTCAAAATCATTTCATTCAAAATCACTGCTCCCGCTGGCCTTTTGGGCCGAACTGGTATGGCTTACCCACTCGCTCATTTCAATCCCATTTTAATTTCATCAGTTCAAAATTTCCATCCTCTCCATCGTTGAAGTAGAAAATTAAAAATTTCTGTGTTTTTTTTGTTAAAAAAATTGTCTGTCCTGGGTCCCTGAATTACCTGGGCCCCTCACCTCTTTTAATTATCTATGTTGTGTCCTGTCCTTTTTTTGGTAAAAAAAAACTTTTCTCTCAAGGCGCTACTAAGGCTTGGCTTAAAAAAAAACCTGAATTTAGTTTAGTCAACAACCTCTTTTCAAATCGAAATTCCTAATGGGTAATTTTGAAAATTAATTTAGACACCAACACCGATGATGATACCTGGAATACTCCCGTATCTCCACAACCCGACCACCATGACCAGCAACCAATTGACCGCGACGAAGATCAAGAACAAGATCGTGACAATAAACAGGATGGACGTGAAAATGTACCCACCTATGGTACCGTTGATTATGATCGCCACGAAGAGCCTACCTATGGTCACCAAGACCCAACCTATGGCCAAGAAGAGCCTACCTATGGCCACCAAGAGCCTACCTATGGCCATGAAGATCATCAAGGTGGTTCGAATAACGGCGTGTATGAATCTTCGGGAGATTATGATCCCATCACTGAAACCAGTGCCGTCTATACCCCCTCCGCTGGCTGTCGTGGTGATACCACTTTCATCTGTCGCGAATCGGGTGTTCAAATCTGTGATGAACAGCGTTGTGATGGTATGGAACAATGTCCCGATGGTGAAGATGAGCTGGATTGTGGCAGTGATGATGACTTTAACTATGAAAAGGGTATAACGCAAAAATTCTCTCTCTCTCTCTTTGTCTCTCTGTGTCTGTCATGCTGTTCCCTTTTTGTGTGTGTGAAGGGCGTCGTTTCATCTGTGACTTATTTGTGTGTGTCTTGTCTTCATCATTCTAAAACAAACAAAAAATCCTGAACCCAAAACCCGACCCCCCCAAACCCTGACTCCTATCCCCCTCTCACTTTGTGTTTTTGTGTTCATTTTGTGTTGTGTCCTCTCCCTCTCTCTCTCTTTTACAGGTGTAGGGAATGCAACGGAAACATACTTTTTAGGAAAATTAAAGGAAATCCTACAAATTCTGGAAAATTTGCAAAAAAAAAAAAAATATAAAATTACTCAAAAAATAGAAAAAAGTAACCGGTTACTTAAACGCAATTTACAGTATTTCCCATGAATTTACAACACTAATAATTACAACACTCCAAGAGTAATTAATTGCTATTAAAATTAGTTTCAGCCAAAAATCGGAGAAAAGTAACCGGTTACTCAATAATATTTTTCTACATTTCTTCGATTTTAACATCACGAATAGTCACATGTTAACCTAAATAATCAAAAAATTTGATTTTGAACGCTTTCCAACAAGAAATAGAGAAAAGTAATCGGTTACTCGAAATTATTTTTTCCATATTTCTTCAATTTTAACGCAACAGATGGATATATTTTAATCTAAATAAGCAAATATTTGCATTTTGAACGCTTTCCGACAAGAAGTGGAGAAAAGTAATCGGTTACTCGATATGTGTTTTTTCTATATTTCTTCGATTTTAACGCCAGGGATGATCATATATTAACCTAAATAAGAAAATATTATAATTTTAAACGCTTTCCGACAATAAATATAGAAAAGTAACCGGTTACTCAACTGCAGAAATTAACAATTTTTTGAATTTAGCAACAGAATTGAGTACATGGTGGGATAGATAAGTAAAAAATTACGTTTTTCATAGATTTTCCAAAATAAATACAGAAAAGTAACCGGTTACTTAATAGTAAATATTTGCAATTCTTTTAATTTTACACCACGGAGTATAATATGATAAACTAAAAATGCGAATATTGTGAATTTTAACCGGTTACGATAAGAAATATAGAAAAGTAACCGGTTACTCGAAATTCCATTTTCTATATTTCTTCAAATTTAACACTATGTATAGTCATATATAAACCTAAATAAACAAATATTTGCATTATAAACTATTTACGACAGTAACTGTAGAAAAGTAACCGGTTATTCAACAGCAAATATTAAAATTTTCTTGAATTTTGACAACAGAATTGAGTAGAGTTTTAAAAATAAATATAGAATTTTTGAATTTCAGAACAGAATTGATTATATGATGGGCTAGATAAGATTTTCTATAGAAATTAAGTAGTGGGTAACCGGTTACTTAAAATAAATTTCTTCGAAATTTGCCAAAAATTTTTAAGTAAATGGTAAAACGCATTAACTAATTTTATTATTAACATCAATAATGCCATTTGTTGTCAAAGTATTCGATTTTTCAGTCCTTTTGTATATGGGTAACCGGTTACTTAAAGTTAGCTTGTTCATAAAATGACTTAAAATTCGCATAAATATAATCAGTTGGTTCTAAATATTAATAATGTGTTGAAAGATATGTAGGTTTTTCGGAATTTGAGATGTGGGTAACCGGTTACTTAAAATAAATTTTGGCGAATTTTGTAGAAAATTGATTATCTAGAGGTTACTTACAATGAAATACTTTGAAATATTTGGATTTGAAGTGACAAATTTGATATTTGAAGTGTTTAAATATACGGTTAACCGGTTACTTAAAGTTAATTTACGCATAGAATGACTTAAGATTGCCGTCATTATAATCAGGAGGTCCTAAGTATCAATAATGTGTTGAAAGATATGTTGGTTTTGCGAATTTGGGATGTGGTTAACCGGTTACTTAAAATCAATTTTGGCAAATTTTGAAAAACATCGATTATCTTGGGGTTAATTACATTGAAATACTTTGAAATATGTGAATTTAAAGTGAAAAAATGTATATTTAAGGTGTTTAAATATACGGTTAACCGGTTACTTAACGTTAATTATTACAAAAAATATATTAAAATGGGCACAAATGTAATCAGGAGGTCCTAAATATCAATAATGTGTTAAAATATATCTGTTTTTTGGAAAATATGGAAGTGGGTAACCGGTTACTTAAAATCAATTTTGGCGAATTTTGAAGAAAATCGATTATCTAGAGGTTAATTGCAATGACATACTTTGAAATATTTGAATTTGAAGTGAAAAATTTTATATTTGAGGTGTTTAAATATACGGTTAACCGGTTACTTATAGTTCATTTGTGCATAAAACGACATAGAAGTGGCATAAATATAATCAGGAGATCCTAAATATCAATAATGTATTAAAATATATGTATTTTCTTACAAATATGGAAGTGGGTAACCGGTTACTTAAAATCAATTTTCATGATTTTGGAAAAAATCGATTATGGAAAGGTTATTTTTAATGAAATACTTTGAAATATCTGTATTTGAAGTGAATTTTGATATTTGAGGAATTTTACTATGCGGATAACCGATTATTTTTGGTGAATTTTTTAAAAAATTAATCGAAAAATATATAGAAAAAAGTTATATAACCTTCTACAGCACTCTGTACAAAAAAAGCACCTGTAAAAAATAATCCGAACAACGATTATCTCGATCCGTCCTAACCTAAAAAAAATACTGAAATCACATTTTCCGAAATTGTTTGTGTAAATATCACCTTGTTACTAACCTGTGAAAAAAATTAAAAAAAAATATTCACTTCTAACAAGACTTGTTTGAAAAAAAACTCCCATTTTTGTGTTTTTTGTGAAAAAAAAAATATTTTTTTCAAAATTTTAAATAATTCTCTTTTTTCTTCTTCTTCTCCTCCCCCTCTTCTTTATTTGGATTTTTTGCCTACTTTTTGTTTTGTGCACTTTTTTGAAAACGAATAGTCTGCTCAAATAACGAATTTATGTGCGACGAACGTTGTCTGCCCAAGGACTATCTCTGCAATGGCTATAAGGAATGTGCTGATGGTACCGATGAACGGGATTGTCCAGAAATAGGTAAGTCCAGAGGTTTTTTTTTTATTCTGTATTTATTATTAGTTGACTTTGGAGGGTATCAAACTCAATCGAACCGATTTTGATTATATCATACCGGGTTGCTTAGTGTCATCTCAGATATCCTAAGTATCGAACATATTGTAAAATTCTTTTATTTGGACTCTATAGGTCTCAAACATGATTTTTCCTGGCATCAAACCATTTTTGGTTGCATCAAACATATGTTGAGAATTTTTTCAAATTTATTTTTTATTTACGTATGGGTTTTATGTTTAAAAAATTATTAAAAATCATTCCAATATTTTTTGGTTACATCGAACATAACTTGTTCCATCAAACATGCTGTGAAGTTGAATCGAACCAATTTTTTTGTTAACCAAAAATTATTTTTTACTAATTTTTAACAAAGGATTTATGTTAGACATCACAAGAAATTAAAAAAAATATTTTTGGTTGCATCGAACATGTTACAATGTTGCATCAAACATATTACTATAATATCAAAAATTTGTTTTTTAGTAGACAAATAGGGTTTTAATGTCAAAATATCGTTGAAAATTCTTAAACAATTTTTTTGGATGCATCGAACATGTTGTAAAGTTGCATCAAACATATTTCTAACATCATTTTTTTACATCAAAAAATTTATTTTTTTAATGTCGAACAGTGTTATGATGTCAAAACATCATTGGAAATCATTTAAAATATTGTTTGTGGCATCAAACATGTTGCAAAGTTGCATCAAACATATTTCTATAATATCAAAAATGTGTTTTCTTAATGAAAAATAGGGTTGTGATATCAAAACGTCATTGAAAATCCTTTAAAATATTTTTGGTTGCTTCGATCATGTTGCAAAGTTGCGTCAAACATATTTCTAACATAATTTTTTAACATCAAAAAATGTATTTTTTAATGTCGAACGGGATTGTGATGTCGAAACATCATTGGAAATCATTGAAGATATTTTTGGTTGCATCAAACATGTTACAATGTTGCATCAAACATATTTCTATAATATCAAAAATGTGTTTTCTTAATGAAAAATAGGGTTGTGATGTCAAAACGTCATTGAAGATCCTTTAAAATATTTTTGGTTGCATCAAACATGTCGCAATGTTGCTTCAAACATATTTCTATAACATCATAAATACGGTTTTTTAATGTCAAACAGGTGTCATGTCATAAAATAATTAAAATTCCTGCAAAATATTTTTGGTTGCATCAAACATGTTCTCATGTTGGATCAAACATATATTTATAATATCAAAAATTAGTTTTCTTAATGCCAAAAAGAGCTTAACATCAAAACATCATTGAAAATCCTTCAAAATATTTTTTGTTGCATCAAACATGTTGCAAAGTTGCATCAAACCTTTCTTTGTAAAATCAAAAATTTGCTTTTTGTTAACAAATCCGGATTTTTGTTACAAAAAAAAAATAATTTTTGTAACAAACATGGTCAGTTTGATATCAAACCTTTTAGTTTGATGCCTGTAAAATTTCCTTAAAAATGTTGAAATAAATTTTAAATCGCAAAACTGTTTTCCCATCCTCTTAATTCCCCTTTCTAATGACCCTCTAAACTATTTTGGTCTGTCAAATTTCATTTTGCCGCCATATCTCACTCAAACCTCTTCATACAAAACACACTTGAACATGTTTCCATAATTGATAGTTTCAATTTAAATCAAAAGAATGTATTTTTATATATTTTTCTGAAAAAAATCACATCCAGACAAAAACCATTTACATTTATTTCCAATATTTTGCCTCCCAGCGTCTAATGAGAAATCAATCGCCATTTTCGAATTAATTAAAATTTATAATGACCCTGAACTGAAAATATATGTGGGTATAGAGTGACCGCAAAAACAAAAATATGAAATATCTAAAAATATATTTTGCCAAAAACATTGTTGGTACAAGAACAAATAAATTATCTAAAGTTTTGTATGGGATTTAAATTAATAATAATTTGTATTTTGGCAATGGCAAAAACGAGCCACTCCTCTTAAAAATCTAGAGCACAGGCACACACATATGCACACAGCAATGAAGTCTGGGATAAATTGAAACATTTTGGCGGGTGTTGGGGATTTTGGCAACGTCAGTGACTTACCAACACCAAATTCAACTTTCATTTGTGGGTGTTAACATGCAAGAGAGATTAGTATTTAACAACAACAACAAAAATAAATTTACAACAACTAAATTGAATACACTGAAGGAAGGTTGTGCCCCCCACCAGAGGGGTGTAACTCTACACACTGTTGATATTTAATTTTGTATTTAAAATACGAATTTCTTTACATGATGGAAATAGGAAGGATCAGAATGAAAATAATTTTGGAAAAAAATATTTTACTGGAAAGGAAAATGGAAGAATCAGGACAATTTTATTCTAATTTAATTCGTATTTAATTGTTATTTTTTATTTTAAAATTTCTTAGAATTATTTTTATTCATTAAATTGCGATTTAAAATTTTTTTGTTAAAAATTTCAAACGAAATATTTTTTCTTTACAATTTTCTATATGACTTCCTTTAACTTTATTCTTTTTATCATAATTTCTATTTAAAGCCACAAGTCTTGGCTTTCCAAAACAATTTTTCTTTTCAAAATCGGCCGAGAATTTCAGAAGTTACCAGCGTTTTTGTAAATTATGCCAATAATTAATAATAATCATACGCTCTGAGGCTACATATATTTTAAAATCCTCATAACTCATTAACTATTTGAGGGATTTTGATATTTTAAATTGGGTTTTGTATATCTGAAAATCTGCCTTGCGATGGCCTCTTCAAGTTGTAATATCTAAAACATTATACAATATCATTTACTTGAAAATATTCTTAATGGATTTCCAAGACATTTTTTTTCTTAGCAAATTGTTTTAGATTTCAATAATGTAATTTTTAGAAAATTATTATTTTTAATTTGTTTGTAGGGTTTTCATTTATTGTTTAAAATTTATTTTATTTATTATATTAACTTTTTAGTCAAAAATATATTTTTTAGCTGGAATGAAATATTTGTTTTTTTCTCCGCAATTTTTTCTATGCCTTCCTTTAACTCTATACTTTTGGTGTAATTTCTATTTAAAGCCACATGTCTTGACATTCCAAAACAATTTTTCTTTTCAAAATCGCCCGAGAATTTCAGAAGTTATCAGCGTTTTTGTAGAATATTCCAATAATTAATGATAATCATACGCTCTGAGGTTCATATTTTAAAATGGTCATAAGTCTCGAAGAAATGGTGGAATTTTGATTTTTTAAATTGGGTTTTGTATAACTGATATCCATTCTTCACCTGAGAAACTCATACTTAGAAAAAAAAATATATTCAATTTTATAAAATTTTTGGGAAATATTTTTTCTTTAAAATTTCTCAGTAACTTTCTGTCATTCTTTATCTTTCACATAATTTCTATTTAAAGCCACATGTCTTGGCTTTCCAAAATAATTTTTCTTTTCCAAATCGCCCAAGAATTTTAAAACTTAGAAGGGGTTTTCTAAATTATGCCAATAATTAATAACAATCATACGTTCCCAGGTACACATTTTAAAATCCTCATAACTCATGAACTATTTGAGGGATTTTGATTTTTTAAATTGGGTTTTGTAAATCTGAGAATCATTCTTGCCATGACCTATTCCCGTTTCCAGATCTTAAACATTATCCAATGTCTTGCACATGAAAATAAACTCGGTGATCATAATTTTTTGCGTCTTCACTTTTTATTAGACTTCCTGTTCCCAGTCACCCCACAAAAGACCTGTTAAGTGTTTTTGTGTGTGTGCGTTTATGAGCTAAACTCTTAAAACAATTTAGTTAAATATTATTTTTCAGATTTTTGTTACTTCTTCTTCGCTGGAAAAACATTTTCAGCAGTGAAAATTCCTCCATGCCACTCTCAATAGTACGGGTTTTTTCCTCTGTCATTTATGTTACACAGTTATTTTTTCGCAACTACTTTACCACTTCTAATATTGCAAACAAGAAAACCTATCCTGTATATCCTTCATAAAATAAGTGAGCATTTTGGGAGTCATGTTTTTTCGGTTCTTTGTCAGAAATTAAGTGCCACTGTATGCTGATTTTTTAAAGGTCCTTCCTAGCTGCTGCTGCTATTACCACTTCAGTGAAGTTAAAATGACAAGATACTAGAAACATTAACGCTTATGGAGGATGGGAAGAGTGGATGCAATTGCCAGGAAAATATTTAATCAACACGAAAATAGAAAGTGCGACAAGAGGTGGAGGTGAAATCGACCAACCTCTTTTTCGAAAAATTTAAAATTTTCCCCAATCTTCTGTCATGTATGTTTAATAATTTCCTTGCACTTACCCCCCTCTTTTTGCGGTGTTTCACAGAACACACCCCACCTCGTATTTTACCAACCTCCCAACCGAATGTATGGTGTGTTCGTGTGTGTGTTTTGTAACTCCTTTTGGGAGTTATTTATGCTTGTTTACAAATTACATTGAAAAGTCCTTGTTGTCCTTGCTCACACAAATCGCTGTTGTTATGCTATGCTACGCCACAACCAGACATTTAGATGGGCGAACTGACACACAGACATAGTCAGATAAATGTGCCGAGCTCTCTCACTCTCCCCTTCCAGTCTTGGGCAAGCACTACAATTGAGCATGGTAATTTTTATGATTGCAATGGCAAAACATCAACAGCGTGATGGTGATGATGATATGCAAAAATAACTGGCAAAGGTTTGCTGGTACTGCTGCTATCAACATTTTGGGGATAACACTTAGATTGGAGGATGGAGATTAGGCAAAAAAATACACTTTGGGGAATTTTTCAGAAAAAATTTTTAATAAAACAAACTTGGAGATAAGCTTTCTTTATTTTCTTTAAATTTTTTTCAATTGAAAAATAAATTCATTATCCAAAAAAAAAATTAAATAGATATCCTATAAAAAATATTTTGTTAAAAACCCCTTTTATAAAAATAGTTTTTTGTTTAAAAAAATA